TTTGTCCGATTCATCGATTAATCAAAAAAATAATCGATTTTTAAAATAATTGTTAGTTGCAGCCCTAGTTTAATCACAAACTAGAAACCCTTTCTAGTCTAAATCTTTTAACATGTAGCCAACAAAACTATCAGTAACTAACTTGCAAAGCTCCACTTTACAAAAGTTTAAACATGAGAAATGGGCAACCATACTCTTACTTTTCTAATAGATCACATGTTTGCAAATCTGCATTATGACCCTTGGGACTAATAATTGACATACTTGTGTACTTTACCCCCAGTTAAAATCTGTTAAGCTTGCCTGCAGCCTCACTCACACCCCAAGCATCAGTAATCAGCTGTTAATTACACAATTTTACTTAGAAAATGACACTCAGAAGCTTCTAAAAACACCTGTTGATACTTTTTGTAAAATAAAAGACATTCAGAGCTGAAAGGTTATTTGGCTGCATTTGCATATTTTAGGAATTATTTTAAAAAACAAATAAAGAATTTACAATAAAAGCTAAAACATTAAGTTAAGGTTTATTTTGTATAAACGAGAGGTCATGAATTTGACAATACTGTTGGGAGTTTTATTTAATTTGCATGTTGATTTAAGGGATAAAAGGACAGAGCAAAGAAAACTTCAGCCGGATGTTCAACTTTTGAAATCTACTGATTAAAAAAAACAACTAATAAAACTTTGGTAATGCTTGGATCAAAGTTTATGACATCTGATACATGATAAAACGGATCAGAAACAGCTTTTTGCTGCTTTTCCAACACTTTTCAGGGCAGGATTACGGTGCCATTCTGCCATCCTCATCCCATCAGATTATATAGAACTGCTCAAAATTAAATTAATAAAATCATTGTGAATTACTCGAATAAATAATTTGACAACAACATAGTGAGATAAACTGAATCTAATTATATCTATCAGTTTATTATTAGGAAATGTAACTTAAAATAATATATCCCAAATATAGAAATTAATGTTGAGGCATTTTTATTTAATATTTATAGTTTTTATATCGTAAGATGCTTTTTCTTTAATCACTGATATTGTTGTGTGTATATGCAATCAAATCATTGGGAACTGGATAAACAGCACCAAATAAAACTAGAACATTATGACTGAATTTATTTTTTTATCAAACATAATCTAAAAGAAGTAAAAGCAAAAAAATATGTACCGTAACCAAACTGAGGGGTTCTGTCTGCCACAAGCTCTTCGATCATTTCTTTGGCTTTTTGCTGAACCGCAGATGATCCAAACAGAACCACTTCTCCTTCATCATCTCCCCTGTTAACCTGTTATAAAAAAACCAAAAACTATTCAAATCACAGAGACAAACATCCTAAACATTTAGACAACTACATCTCTATGTAACTACAGTCAGGAAAGGATTAGAGCTTGTTCTATTATTTACTGTGTTGACAAAAATTACAAAAACCACAAAAAAAGACTAAATGACTAAAATTTGAATAAAATTAAAATAGATTTTTGTCATTTTGACTACGACTAAATAAAAAAAAAGCTGACAAAATTAACACTGCTGTTAAAGAAAAAGCAATAAAAATATTTCTAAATAATTTGACAATTCATTAATAGCATTCATGCTTAGAGGCATTTTTGAGCCAAATGTTGGGATTTTATGAGGGTAATGAGGGTGTTTTTTGTGGCTGAAACAATTAATCATGATTCATTGATTATTGAAATAATTGTCAACTAATATAGTAATTGATTAATGTTTAACTGGAGTATAGACTCTAAAACTCGCCTTTAGCTGTCTGAGCGACCCACTTAGAGCAGTAATTATAACAAGATTGTACAAAATATATAAATATTTTCTAATTTTAGATAAAATAAACTTTTTCTTCTGTCAATGTGCTCTACCCAGAACTCAAGTGGAAAAAGTTACATTTTCACCTGGTTAAATTTTGTAAAAAAAAAAAAAAAAAAAAATTCTTTTAAGGAACCTTTGGCTATCTGATTAATAAAAAAATACACCACAGATTAATCGATTTCCAAAATAATCTTTAGTTCCCTCCCTAGTGTTTTTTTAACTGGTTCCCTGCAGTTTTAACAGCCAGCACCACTTGCCTTGATCCTTGCACCACTACTTTCTTCAAGTTCACGAATTTTAGCTCCACCACGACCTGTGGACACAAGCAGCAAACATCTAAGCTAGACACACTCCCAACAGAAAAAAAAAAATGTGCCTCATTATCATCAATTTAATACAATATAAGGAAATAGCAAGTGGGCCCGTTTTTGACGGTCATTCAATGTTAGCATGGTTAGCATACCAAATAAGCAGCACCTGCTTAAAATATATATGTATATTTTTTTACTTACCGATTATCCTTCCGATTGACATGTTTTCCACTTTAAAAATCAGTGGTTTGGACCTGTCGGACATCTCGTTTCCACTCCTACACTCTCTGGGGCCTCCGCCGCGGACTGTTGGACCTCTTCGGCTCCTGAACTCGGATCCCTCCCAGCTGCGCTCATCTCTCGCCTCTCTCCAGTTTCCAAACTGGTTTGCACTTTTAAACCCCAAATAAACATTTCCATCTTCACCACTCCCGACTATTTTCTTACTAGTCACTGTTATTTTAGGTACCGGGTCCTGAATGGCCACACCGTCTGCGTCGTACTCATCTTCCCAGTCAGCCATGATTAAATTCCGCGGTCCAATTAACCCTGAAGTCCAATTTTAAGAAGAATTGCATCACTTCCTGTCTGGACAGGAAGAAGGTTCATATGAGACACGTTTTAATGATTTATTTTTATATGTATCACATGTATAATATTAATATGAAAGAAGTATTTACCTTAAAGGAAATATATACTTTAGTTTGATTATTTGTTTCAAGTTGGTTTGATAAATTATGAGTTTACACAATTATTAGGATAATCAGTATTAAGGATTAGGGCCAGGCTAGTTTTCTCATAATGTTATGACTTTATTCCTTGTAATGCTACAACTTTGTTCTCGTAATTTATGACTTTATTCTCATAATTTTATGACTTTATTCTTGTAATGTTATGACTTTATTTTTGTAATGTAACAACTTTATTCTCATAATGTTACGACTTTATTTTCATAATTGTATGACTTTATTCTTGTAACACCTTTATTCTCTTAATGTTAGGACTTTATTCTCATAATTTTACGACTTCATTCTAATAATTCTAACATTCTATAACTTTAATCTTGTTGCAAATTTGCTCTTGTAATTTTTTGACTTTATTGTCATAATATTACAACTTTAAATAAAAAAAAAGAATACAATAGAATTCAACTTTATTGTCACTACACTGTCAAAAGTACAGCACAATGAAATTAACTCCCTGCATTTAACCCATCCCCTTGGGAAGCAGTGGGCTGCCATTGTGCGGTACCCGTGGAGCAGTGTGGGGTTAAGGGTCTTGCTCAGGGACCCTGAGTGGCAGTCCGTGGGAGTAGGACTTAAACTCAGAACTTTTGGAACTCAAGCTCTTTTTTTTTATTTTTGTTATTAATTTTTTATTTTTATTTTTTACACAAAACCATTAAACTTTAAATAAAACCCGTTATTAAAGTTCCTGTTAAATCTCAGGGGACCTTCATGCAGGCTCATAATGACTGATGTTGTACTTTGAGGTAATGTTACCAAAAGAAAAGTTTACTCTGCCTGTAGCAACTTCTTGTAAAGTGTCACCTGATGGTTCTCAACCTGTGAAAGTTGCAGATAACCTTTAGGATGGAAGCATTAGTGTCATGGATCTTAAATATTCACTGAAGGTCATACAATTTTGAATCTCTCTTTGGAGACAATAATTTATTTCCTAAATGAATCTTTAGAGAATGTTATCTGAAAGCTATAGTCATAGCTTCCATTCAAATTGACCTTCAAAGAACACAGAGAAAGTTATCTCACTGTCTCTCAAGGTCCAACTGAGGAGGTTGGAGGTAGTTTCTCAAGAAAAGTAAACATTGTAAACTTTTAGGGTATATTGCCTAAAGGTTACAGTAAAAGTTGTAAATTACCTCTAAATAATTTTTGAGTAGGATTCCAAGAAAGTTCTCTCAAAGCTATGTTGTGTGAAATGCAAAAAAAACTCAAACGTAACATCTTCTGAAACACAAATCTGTTGGTAGCTTCTGGAGATCCTTTCTGGTCCTTGAAAAAGTTAAGATTTTAAAAGAAAAAGAGGAAACATTATCTGATGGCTGAACATTTTCCCTGGATATTAAAAATAGTTAACCTTGAAACTCTCCATAGTTTCTATGTCTTACCCCTGGATGTTCACAGGGTAGTGAGGAGAAGACCTCCACCTCACTCACCTGTGAACATCCAGGAGTAAGACATAGAAACTATGGAGAGTTTCAAATACCTGTGTGTTCACGTCAACAATAAACTGGACTCGACTCATGACACCGACGACCTGTATAAGAAGGGCCCGAGCTGCCTACACCTCCTGTGGAGGCTAAGGTCCTTTGGAGAGAGCAGGCCCCTCCTTAAATCCTCTATGACTCTGTGGTGGCATCAGCCCTCCTCTACACTGTCGTCTGCTAGGCCCCTGGCAGTGCAGAGCGGGATAGAAAAAGACTAAATAAACTGGTGAGAAAGGCAGTTACTGTCCTAGGCTGCACTCTGGGCTCAGTGGAGGAAGTGGCTGAGAGGAGGGTGCTGTCATGGAAAACACCTTCCACCCTCTGAACCAGACTGTAGAGGAACTTAGCGGCTCCTATAATGAAAGATTTTTACATCCTGTTTGCAAAAAGGAGCGCTACCACAGGTCATTAATCCCTGCTGCCACAAGATTATACAATGTGACACTACAATGGTAATAACTTATGCAATGTATAATGCGCAATTTACTATTTAATACCCTGTGCA